TTATATTTTGTGTTTTTAATATCTCATCTGTTTTCAGTTCGGCTTTTTTGTTTAATAAGTTGCCATAAGTTTCTTTAATTTCCCCTATTATCAGTGATGGTTTGGCAAATGCTTCTATCGGAGATATCCACAGAGGGACTTTAGTGTAGAATTTGAGTTTTATTATATTCCAGACTTTCATGAGAGCACTTCTTATGATGTGTGTATGGAAGCTGGCGTGAATTTTATCCTTTCCATACCATATGTACGCATGTCATCCCATTACCAAGTCTGATCCTTCTAAAGCTAGAGTTCTCACATCTTCTAACTCAACCCAATCTTTGATCCATATCATCGATGCTGTGAAATAGTACAGCTGCCAATTAGGCAATGCAAATCCTCCTCTTTTTTTACTGTCCTGGAGATCTTAAATTTTATTCTCGTTTTTTTAGACTCCCATATAAATTTACTTACAGTTTTCTCTAGATCCTTAAAAAAATTGTAATTTTAATTATTGGTAAGTTTTGCGCCAAAAACAGGAATCTTGGAAGAATGTTCATTTTTATTGTCGCTATTCTGCCCAGTAACGAAAGATTCTCCCCCCCATGATTTAAATCTTTTTTAATAGCCTTACGTATTCTTGAACTCTAGCGGTAAGAGAGGCAGAGAAAAACTTCCCTAAATCTCTTTTCTCCAATCATTTCTTCTTTTATAAGACTGTCACCACCCCCTTTAATTACCTTTCTTTTGAAACTAAACCCCCCCACATTGCTTCAACCTTTCATCACTGGAATGTGACCACCTGTCTGCATTTTTGTTTTGCTCTCCAACATGCCTTTTTTGGGATGACTATACACAGCATCCAAAGTGTGGCCATAATACAGATCGATGGCAGTCTTATTCTTGCTATTTTTATTGCTAGGAGGAAACCCCCCCCCACTAAACTAGTATTTTCTGTTCCTATTATTGAAAAATAGCAAGTGCAGACACCAGGCTGGTTTGGAGACTGGATACTAGGCTCACACAGGAGCATATATTTTTCAAAGGTTTTCTCTCCCAAAATTAAATACTTCTCTTGAATTCATAATGATAGAAATTACACTGCAATGGTCAGAACGACAGAACCAGGGGATGTTCAAAGGCCGCACATAACTGACATGAAACCAACACGCACATGCTGTCACACATAGCCCTGTGCCTCCCTCCCGCATGGATCTCTTTATTAGCAGCTCACACATGACCTATGGCATTCAAATGTAGGTGCATGAGTCAAACTGAGTTAGAGAATCCCAGACAAAACCTGGATTGAAGTCTTGCTTAGAATCACGATTTATGTGTGTATGAGAGGGGAAGGCGTTTTAGTTAACTCACGCACTCGGATCTGTATGTAGCCAAACTGAGCTGGCAACTGTTGGTCCCCACTGCAAACTCCTCTCATGACTGAGAAGGAGAGAGACCAGCAGAACATAACGTAGTGGAATTAGCAAAATGATCACAGGCAGCAAAGCTAAGAGAGGGATCCATTTTAAGAAAGCATATTTTTCAGACAGTTGGAATCCTTTTTTAAAAATTTGGGGCAAAACCCCCAGAACTGTATATGACATTAGATCCATTCAACTGTACCTCATTTTTGTAGTTAAGTAGAAAAACAGAATTATATCCATGGGATTAATTTGGAGATTGTTAAGGATACGAGTGTATTTATCTATTTCTATCTTGCCATTCTCCCCGCTGGGGACTCAACGCAGTTTACATTGTTCCCCTCTGTTCAAATGATGTCTTTGTGATATTGCAGTGCCTGTTTTGATGTTTACTCTCTGTATTTCTTTATAATAAACATAAATTGGATGATAGATGAGGAAAAAAGTGACCAGTACTGTAAGACATTATAAGCTGTAACTTTTTCCTTTGGGGATTTTTTTGGGAAGAACTGAGCTGTCTGGAGGAAGGAGAGAGGTCTACCGGGTGGCCGTCTGAAAATAAGAAAGGCTCCAGGCAGTGGATTCCTGCCTTCTCCCTTTTGGCACCAGCCACCGCATGAATGTTGCTTCCAATGCTCCCTCTAAACTGTGGAGTCTTGTGAGCAAAAATTCTACTTTGTGAGCTACTGGCATTAAAGTTGGGAGCGAACGGTTTGGCTGCTGCATAAAACAGCTTGCTCTGGAGCCATCCTTCCTGAGCTAAGACAAAAATGTGTGAGCCGGAGGCTAAAAAACTGTGAGCTAGCTCACACTCACACTCAGCTTAGAGGGAACACTGGTTGCTTCTCATTTGCCCAAATGCAGGACTTTCCCACTCCCCTTCCAGAGCACTGGCTCCTAACTTGCTGCCCTCTCTTCCTCTGTCTCAGAGCGCCCAGGAGTTATAACTCCTCCTGCTAAAATCCACTAACCCTGCGGCTGCAATCCGAAGAATATTGTCCCTTGCAAATAAAATGCAACGTTACACTGCGTAGACGAGTTCAGGACTGCTCCCTCCCTGTTATCTCCTTCTCTCATACACACATCTCCCTCACTCCCCCAAACAATTTATGACATTATACCCTCCGTCCACTTTTCCCAAAAACACCGGAGACCCAGCCAACTCTCTGCCCAAAGATAAACCTCTTTGATTACGTGGCTTGGTCATGGACGTCCCGACTTCTCTTTGCCCGACCCCACTAAATTTGGAGGAACAGCAGCGATTTCTCCCAGCAGCGCAGATGGGGCTACAGATGAATGACGAAATGGAGCAAATAAAAGTCAGCAATGGGGCTGCGTTGAATGGAGCAGGACTGTGAACCCACTGAGCAGACACCCCTCTGCCAGCATGGGTATCCTTATAGGCCCATGTACACGTACAGTGTCTATAGCTCAAGGTGCCTACCCTGGCTTACTTTGGGGGGGGGGTGCACGTTGCCATGACACAGCAACTGCAGCAAGGAGAAGACAAACATGGCATGGTACGGACAGAGGGGCGTGTTGTGTGTAGGACTTTGTAAGGTTAATAAATAGCAACTTCATCCCCAACCTTCTAGGTCCAATGGACCACACACTGCTCCTTTTCCGGGGAGCCTCCAAGACACAGGTCCTCAGGGTGTAACCCCCACTTGGATCAGTGGTTTTCAAGTTGGGCTCCAGGGAATTTGAAGCTCACTGAGGATTCCTCAATGCAGAGATCAATACTGGTGCAGAAGCTTCCCTTATAAGCAGATCTGTCCGGCATTAATTCTCCCCTGCAGTGAGCAGCTGCAGGGAAATCCTGGGAGGTATTTTGGAGCTTATTCTTTATTTCTGAGAGTGACTGGCAAGTCCTCGAGACCCTCTCCAAACCCCTGGGTAAGTTCAGAGCACACGTGAGAATACACCCTACAGAACTCTACACTAAACATGTACAGATGTGCTAAATCGGGGACAAGAGCATATACCACTAGAAGATTCAGCCTCAGGTTTAGTCCCTGGTACTTCACGCCAGAAAGATCTCGGGCACCGAGTTCTGCTGGAGACTTTGGCTGTGTTCTGAAATGATTGGGAAGCCTATGCTGGCTTACTTTGGGGGGCAGGGGACGTAGGCTTAGTGGTAGGGCACACACTTGGCATACGGAAGGCCCCAGGAACAGTCCCAGGCATCTGCCGTTTACATGGATGTCAGGTAAACCTGGAAAGACCTTTCTCTTCCTGAGACCCAGGACAGCTGCTGGCAGACAAGGGTAGAACATATTGAAACTGATGGACTAAGGGGACCAGGCCAGTTTCACACACACGATCATGTGGTTCTTTGGCCCACGGATCTGTGCAGAAGGGATCGTCTGGCAAGGAACTGGACGGCCACGGCTCTGGATGGCACTTCTTTTTTAAAGGAAGTCCTCAGTAGAAGTCCGATGTTTTGCTCTAGTGAGGCTCGGCTCCATTTGCAGCCTGACGAAGCAAATGCAGCCCCACAAGTCATGTTTCTGTCACCTGCCTAGAGACAGAAGGGCTTTCGAGGGCCGTGTAGGCCACAGTGGTGAGCTCCGTTTAGACTGGTCGGTCACACAAGCCATCTGCTCTAACAAAAAGGCTATTTTTGTTAACAGCCATCTCAGATAGACATGAGCAATCAAAAATGCATCGCTCCTCCTCTCGGACCCCAAAAGCGAAGGGTCTCGAGAGAAGCCTCACGTGTCAAAGTATCTGCAATATTCCGGGAACGGGAGAAAGCACTTTGAAAATGGGAACCGCCACCAAAAGAGGCCCTCCCTTGGTCTAGTACAGAGGTCTCCAAAGCGAAGGATGCAACCTCTGTAATAGAGCAGCCGACCCCTTATGCCTCCTGCCAACGTTCCTAATTGGGCCAGGAAGCTGATTGCTGACACCTCCGTTCCCAAGCAGAATGCATGGCTGCTGGCCTTCCTCTTCCAGTTACGGAGACTGGTTGCGTTAAGGGCCAACAAGCATCCTCTAGTTTTGTCCCACACGAAAACGCGTTCAGCTGAGGGCACTTGGCAGACCCAAGCTGAGCCGATGCCAATGCTTCCCATGTCTCAGCAAGGAATACAAGAGACAAAGAGTACCTGGCGTGCGCTAACGTGGTATACGTGAACATACGTGGTATAAGCTTTCATAGTCTCTGCACAGTTTGGGATGCAAATGCAGAGAGAGGTTAAAGTGCGCACCTAGCAGGGAAGCTGATCTGTGTTGATCTTTGTGAGCCCACCACAGGGGGCATATCCAAAACAGTCAGCGTGTGTACACAGGTGTAAACCACAGGCCCAGCAGGTATATGCACAAAGAGGAGGTACCAAAACTGTGCCCCACCACCCCACCCTCATCTGTGCATGAAACATGAAGTGCTGTCGGCATGGTACTCCCTTCCCCTGTACTCGCCAGCACATCAGACAATGTAATGGTGGTTAAAGAAAAGAAATCATAAAAAAAAAAGCAAGCATCAACGGGAGAATGAGAAAAGGAGACAAACCCAACTGAAACACGAGATGCAGCATGCACGGAGCTGGCTTCCTGCTTCCTGTTCCTCCTCCTCCTCCTGCTCCAGCCGCCTAATACCTTTGCCTCTGCAGGGAGCTGGGTCTCTCAGAACCAAAGGGAGCCACCGCGTCAGGCGGCCGCGACCACGACACACCGCCCATCTGTTGCAGCTTGGTGCTCAGCTCGCTGATGATGCTGGCCTTCATGGAGGACATGGGCGAGGCCTTGGGCTCCTCCCAGGGCAGTGTCGGAGACTTCCGCTGCAGCTCCTTGCCTGGCTCGGCGGCGGCTGGCTGCTGGTGGTAGGGCGGGGCCGGCGTGAGAGCGAACATGTTCTCAGTACATGCTGAAACTGAGATGGTGGAGCTGGTGGGAGTGGCCACTGGCAAGCGACCCGGGAACGGCCGAGAGCGCAGCTTGGTTTGCAGCGGGCTCTTCTCCGCCCCGCCGCCGCTTCCCCCGCCGCTCCCTCCAAATGCCTGCCCGTCCAAGTAGGTGATGTAGGTGTCCAAGAGTTCCGTGCCTTCCCCGGACATGCTGGACAGCGTGGAGACGCTGCTGATGGTCTCCAAGTGGTGGTCGCTGCTGCTGCGACTGTCCACTTCCTCGATGCCGGAGTCGGTCACAGCTTCCGGGGCCTCTGCTGCAGGGATGGCGATGGACGACACGACGGAAGAGAAGTTGACGTGGGGGGCTTCCTTGGTTTCCGATGTTCCAGCTTGGGTCAAGGTGGCCACCTCGCTGTCGTAGGATGTCAAGCTGGAGGCGGTGGAGTCTAAGGCGGCGGGAGCAGGGGGAGCAGCCGGAGGGGCCGCTGATGGGGGCAGTTCATTGGTGGCTTTGGGAGGAGACTCCGGCTTATCAAAGCTGTTGGAGAACTCGAGGGGCGGCGGGAGCGGCTCGGTGAAGACAAACTCGTCATCAACGTCGATGGAAGGGGCAGGAGGGGGCAGCACGAGCAGAGGGAGCCCGTTTTCCTCTGCGACACGCTCCGGTGGCGGCGGCGGGGGCGCAGTCGTCTCAACTTTCCCACTTTCATAAGCTGCTTCTTCCTCCTCTTCTGTCGGACGGCAGTTCTCCATGAAACGCACGTGGAGCTCCAGCTTCTCTCCTTCCTCGGGCCGCTTTTCCCAAGGAGCTGCTTTGGCGGGGGTCGGAGGCGGCTGCTCAGGCGAGTGATGCCGGGGGCTCTCTGGCTCTTTCCGGGGCGAGGCAGGCCGCTGCTGCTCCGAAGTCCCCCAGAGGCGCAGGATGGAGCTGCCAGGGGACCCGGGAGTCTTCGGAGCCTCACCAAACCGTGGCGAGGAGGGACGCGAGTGCCTCTCCTCTCGGCTCTCCTGCTGGGACTGGGACTCTTTCAACGCCCGCTCGCGAGCCACTAACGCCAGCCCCAAGGGGGAGCTGGGATCCAAAATCTTGCCGGTCAGCGGGTGAATGAGAGGAGTGGAATGGGGCTGGAGCTGCGGCAGAAAGCTGGAGCACACAGAGGTGAAGGCGCTGGTGGTGCTGGCCCCGTACGCTTTAGCGGCGCGAGACTGGAGGTAACTGGAGCTGCTCCCGGTGACGCTGGCACCCCCGAAGCCGGGCACCATGTTCAGCTGGATGTATGGCTCACTGGAGAACATGCCTTCGTCGATGGACTTGGAGTGGCGGAGACGAGGCATGGGGGTCTGCTGGGACTCGTCGTCCGGCTGCTCGGTGGAGAGGAAGAGAGCCGACTTGCGGCGAGCCTCGCTGTACCACTCACGGTCCCGCCGGGCAGCCCCAACTAAGGCTGCCCCAAACTGGCTGGTGAAATCCATACTGTTGTGGAGCTGCAGCGACGGCACGGGCACCGCCGGCTCCGGCTGGCTCTCCGCTTCCATGCTGCTTCCTTGGCTGCTGCGCCCGCTACTGCTGGTCGAGGGAGCTTTGATTATGATGGTGGGGATGGGGATGGAGCTCTTCTCCGGCGGGGCAGACGATGGGGCCTGCGTAGACGATGCCTGCATCTGAGAGGCGGCGGCACCGCCCTGCTGCTGACGCTGTTCGTCCTCCACTTTGGTCTGCTTGACCAGCGGTCCCTTCCTGCGCATGGGCTTGGTGGGGACGTACATGGCGGTGTTGGTCGCTCGCGGGGGCAGGTTGTAGTAGCGGAGGTCAGGGGTGTGGCCTCGCCAACCGCGGGCGGTGGACCCCTCGGCCCCCTGCTCAGATTCTTGGCGGTAGAGGGAGATCTTGTCGCGAGCACTGGCACGGGAGGGGGGCTCGTACGACGATTCCTGGTGCAGGGAAGCCGAATACAGCTTGGCTTCGGCGCTGGGGTTGAAGGTGGAGCGAGCTGAGGGCGTGGCGCGTCCGGATGCTGAGGGGGGCGTGCTGTACGGGGGGTCAGGTGGGGAGGTGGTAGGAGGTGGGGGGATGTCATCGGAACCCGGGACTGAGAGGCTGCGGCTAAACTTCATGGGAGGGGGAGCGAGGTAGGGCTTCTCATCCTCGGCAGCTCCTGTGGAGGGGAAATAAAGAGACCGTGATGGAATAATTCCTCGTGAGGGGCCACAGCTCAACCGTAGGGCACGTGCTAGTCTTGTCACCTCCAGATCATGGGTGGTGGGAAACGCCCTTTTCTGCTTGAGACGTTCAAGAGCAGATACCCATCAGAACTGACAATACAAATGGCGCACCAATGGCCCAACTTAGCAGAAGGCAACTTCATGTGCCATCCCTTCACTGACCCGCTCCTCTCTCCTGGCTCTTCCCACTCAGACTTATTCCTAGTACTAGGAGCATCTCTGTTGTTAATCTACCAACCGGGGCACAATAACTTTATCACACAGAAACTTTTTCTCACCCCTGATCTGTTGCCCACACATGAACAAAAGACTGCTTCACAGTGAGCACCAAGGGACGAACCTTGCAAGCAGCCAGACTACTAGCCAGACTACTACTACTAGTAGTACTACCACCATCACCGTCAGACAATCCTAGGGTCTCCTAGCTATTCTACACACAATGCCATACTACTAGTAGAAGTAGTATGGCATTGTGTGTAGAACAGCCAAGAGACCCTAGGATTGTCTGGCAGACGCAAGTTCTAGCTCTTAGTGTTGTGCTAGTGGCGAGCTAGACTTGTTTTCAGGGGCTGAGACAGCTCTGAAAGAACTGTGACTGGCCCAAGGTCACCTAGCAGGCTTCATGTGCAGGAGTGGGGAACTGAACCCAGTTCTCCAGATTAGAGTCCGCCACTCTTAATTGCTACACTGGCTCCTAGCAACCAGACTGTCATGTGGTAACAGTAGTTCCACGACTAATTGGGCCACTTCACCCTGGATTTCTCTCCCTACAGAACAGAAAGGAGATCTGGCTCTCCCTCTGTTCTTCAGCCTCACTGCGGAGTCTACTTCTCTCTCTCTCTTCAGGCCCCGTCTCACCAATAGATTTCTGGCGGAGCATCATGCCTGGGGGATGACTGGCTGGTAGATACGACGGGCGCTCGTAACTGGGTTGGCTGAGGCGGTGCTGTTCGAAACTAGGCTAAAGAAAGAAGAAAAGGAGGACTAATAAGGACAAAAAACACCAAATGCATGTATGCCGACACAACAAAACGCCACCAAACAATACACATTTCCACAGCATTGTTTGTTGGTTTGCTACCACCCACATGTTGCTTTGTAAGCCCAGCAATCCCAAAAGACGGATCACAATTAATATCCTCATCTTGCAGACAGAAGGAGCTGAGGAGAAGGCCACCTTGAGGACCGAGGGACAAAGTGAGACTTGAACCACAGATCTAAGACCTTCTGTCTCACGCTCCCAGCCGTGAAACAGCTGAGGCTGTCTCTTATCAAAAGGATAGGACAAAAACAGAATCCTTGAGCCGAGATGCCCTCCCCATAGCACAGAACAGCAACCAAAACGCAGTACCCTAGTTCTATGCAATTGAGAGGGGGAGGCACCAGGGAGGGAAGGGGAACAGGCCGAGGTCATTTCGGGGGGGATCGCAGTTCCCCCGGGTGAGGTACGGGGGGCGGGGCACATGGCGAAGCCCCGCCCCCTGCTTCCGGCCCTCATTCAGCCAGGAGGAGGCAGGAGAAGAGGGAGGGTAAGTTGCTTCCTCCCTGCCTCTCCCCACCCCTGCCTGCCTGGTGCCAGGGAGGGCCTTCACGGGGCTTCCTCGCACTCCCGCCGGCCTTGCAGGTCCACTGCAAGGCCAGCGGCGGCCGGGACCGTTGGGGGCGGGGTGTGTGGCCTTATGACACACTTCCGGTGATGTCAGGGGGTGTGGCATATGCTAATGAGTTATGCTAATGAGTTCCCCTAGCTCTTTTTCTACGAAACAACCCCTGGGAACAGGACACAAATGTTCACAACTCTTTGGAGGGCCTTGCTGTGAGGGGACAGTTACACCACTTTTCGACTCTTCCCTAAAACACCTAGATCTAGTTAGGAGTTAAACTCCATATAACAGAGTTCACAGAGCGGGGAGCCCAAACTCAACCTGTGAATGGGTGTACGTTTCCTTGCGTGTGGTCTCTTCCTGCATGCAATGTTCCCGTTCTAGAAAGGGGCTGACCAAACGTCAGCCTTTCCAACCTCTGTGTGCTGACAGGACCAGGGAAGGCAGTTAGTAAAGGTAAAGGTTCCCTTGCTCGAAAGCCAGGCGAGTCCGACTCTAGGGTTGCGGTTCTCATCTCCGTTTCAGAGCCGAAGAGCCAGCGCTGTCCGAAGACGTTTCCGTGGTCATGTGGCCGGCGTGACTAAACACCAAGGCGCACGGAACGCTGTTACCTTCCCACCGAAGTGGTACCTATTTATCTACTTGCAATTTCTTGCTTTTGAACTGCTAGGTTGGCAGGAGCTGGAACTAGTGAGACGGGAACTCACTCCGTCATGCGGCACCCGGGTCTCGAACTGCTGATCTACTGACCTTCCACAGCCTGCAGTTCAGCGTCTGAACCACTTGAGCCACCGCAGCTCCACAGGCAGTTAGTGGACCTCTGCAAAAGATCATGTCGTCTCCCATAATGGGCCACATCCTTCCTTTCCTGAACCCTTTCTCCTCAGGATAACAATTCAGGCAGTGGGAAAGTCTAGAGCTCCTTCCGCACTGCACTACAATTCTGATCCAAAGAGGGGAACAGAGTGCGCGCAAAAAGAGAAAACGCAAGTAAGCTAGGACTGCGATGGAGCGCACAGATTAGTTCCAGGGTCTCCAGCATCTCATATCCTCTGAAATTTTGTCTCACGGAAATTGACCACAGGATAGATAGAAGAGGAAGGCAGAGTCTCCCAGAGAACTTTTTTTTTTAAGCTGAATTTTCTCATTTCATTTAAGAAGAAAATCCAACAGGATTAAAATATGATAACGCCACTGTGTTGTCCCCCTTCTGAGTGTTTCTTTTTAAAATGTCAAAGACAGAGGAGGGCTCCTATTGTGGACTTGGCTGTCTGTCCTACCTCGGAGGAGAAGTAATTCTTGGCAGCACCCCGGGACTTCCCCAAGGAAGGAAGCCCTCCGCTTCCATCGCCTACGCTGATGGTCTGTTGAGCCGCAGCCAGTATCTCATCCAGTTTGTCTGTAATGGGAAGGCAGAGAAAGAAAGAGGATAAGGTTGGAATCACTCCATTACGGTCCCTCAAAAGAGAAGGCACCACTGCCCTTGACTGACACCGCTCAGGACGATTCCTGCTTCTAAGTAGAAAAGAAAGCCCAGGAATTCTAGCCCCTAGCTTCCCTGCAATGACCACTGCTCCAGGGTTGACTCCCTAACATTGTTTAGCTTTTTAGAACAAATGCTTTTAAAAAGTTATTAGAATACCCATAGTGCAACAAGATGTTTTAAATTTGGAGAGAAAGAAAGTAGGGTCAGGATGTGAGATGACCCTTCTTTCTTAAGCAACTCTGAGTATGCATTCTTGCTGAAGAACCTGGGATTGGATCCCGCTCCACTCAGTTAACTACAAAGCCTTTCCCACACAGAAGGCTCCACGTCACTGAGCCGAACCCTTAGACAGTCAAACCAAGATTTACCTAGACCCGCACACTGTACAAGAAACCTAGCAACTAGCAGGCTGTAGGTTGGATAGGGGCTCCACTGGGTTGACCGAGATCCACCCATTCAATCTCCACTCCCTCCTTCCAAGAAACCCATAAAGTCTTACCCACAGTGTTTCTGCTCAAACCCCACATAATGATGAAATTCTGTTGTTAAAAGCAGGACAAGGGCTCTTCACGCTTTCTTCCTGACTAGTCTTCAAAACAACCTTCCGAGGCAGGGATAAGGAAGCCAAGACTAAATGGATCCTTGCCCCATGAACCCAAAGGTGGCTCAGGTGAGTTGCGGAAGAGGTCCTTCCATGCCACTCCCTCATGTGCTTAGCCAGCAAAAGACAGACGCCAGAAGCAGGGCTGACTTTTGACTGGCAAAGACCAAGACAGACCACTGCCCAGATAAATATCTCCAACAGTCCAGTATTTAAAGTATTAGAATGACTGATGGACAGAATTACATTAGGTCCTAAAGCGCCCTAATGGAAGACATGGCTCCCCCTGCAAATAGCCCAGTTTTATTAAACGTTCTTGGAAGATGCTCAAAAAAACTCAGGTGGTCTGTAATGGTGGCATACCCAGAGGAGCATTCTTTCTTCCCAGAAGTTATCACTGCAAGAGTGGGGGGGAAGGACTTACAGCAGTGAGGCTCTGATCTCAACATTTGCGTGAAGAGTCCATGGCCCTGGGGAATCTGGGAAATGGAGTTCTCAGTGGCTCCTGGCTCAAGAGACTACATGGAGTGTAAGAAACTGCTGCTCCCAAGATCCCCAGCATTCACAAAACCTGAGTTCGAGTGTCCGGAAGTTAAAGATGAGGTCTCTGCTGCAAGTATGTCCTATTGCTGGATCCCTCCACTCTGAAATAATAAGTCTGAAGCAATGTGAAAACTCCAAAGAGGGAGTGCTAACTTCTTTCCAACACTTTCTCGAGCCTTTCCTTTCTTTCACAGGTTAAACATCTCATCTGTCTTGGATCTGCCTGCAACATCCTAATTTGCCACTGTTCTTCTGGAAGCAAGCCACAACCAGTGTTCCCTCTAAGCTGTTAGTGTGAGCTAGCTCACAGTTTTTTAGCCTCCGGCTCACACGTTTTTGTCTCAGCTCAGGAAAGGTGGCTCCAGAGCAAACTAAGCTATGCAGTAGCCAAATCGCTTGCTCACAACTTTAATGCCAGTAGCTCACAAAGAAGAATTCTTGCTCACAAGACTCCACAGCTTAAAGGGAAAATTGGCCACAACCCTATTCCTCACCTTCTTTCAGCCTACAACAGTCTGCTCACTGATGCTTCTGACACCTCTCCAGCTTCAGACAGCTGCAGGATGTTACCAAATGATGAGTGTTCCCAACAGCGAGGACCAGTTCACTACCCTAGCCACTTGGCATGCTGGGTAAATCATCAGCCAACAGAACCCAAGGGAACACAAGCCCAACTTCCCTTCTTGGAGAACCTGCAGGAAATTCCCCCTGCTGTGAAACTGGGCTGCATCCTACTACTCCACTTAGCAAGATCTAAAGCCTTCCTGAAGCCTAAGGAGCCATCCTTCAGCTTAACGGGTTCTTGCACTAGGAAAAAGTTGAGATCCAGTTTGGTGCGGTGGTTAAGAGCAGCAGCCTCTAATCTGGAGAACCAGGTTCGATTCACCACTCCTCCACTTGAAGCCAGCTGGGTGACCTTGGGTCAGTCACAGTTTTCTCAGCCCCCAAAATAAACCTAGATCTCCACAAAAAGAGCTAGAGTTTCAGGCTGCCAGACAATCTTCAGCTCTCCTGGCTATACTACACCCACTGCCATACGGTAATTAATTAACCAGAGAAAGAGCTACTTCCATTGGAGGAAGAGGTCAAACTTTGCTGAGCGAAGGGAGCATCCCAGTCACCATTACAAGTAGTCAAAGCACATTCTTACTCACTCAAAGCCATCTGATAGACTGTTCGTTTCTTGTCAGGGCCCATCGCTGGCTCGTAATCTGCAGAGGCGACAGGAGGGGAGGATAACGGGGGTGCAGGGGGGGGGTGGACCAGTGATGGGTTGTCAGGGTGGAGGACCGGTTGTGGCTCTCCACACAGAGGGTGACAGCGGTGGTGGTGGTAGCAACGGGGGAGGTGGATGGGAGCATTTGGTGGGACAGTGCAGAACGGGGTGGTGGGGTATAGGAGGCAATGAGGAAGAAGCAGGCAGGCCGGGGCGTGTGTGGAAGGGTGAGGAATGTGCGACACTCACCTGCTTTCTTCTTCCAGGGGGAGACTGAACAGTGGGAGGGAGATAGCAAGAGGGGAATAAATTAGCACCTTGAGGTGTGGGGAGCACACAGCTGGGAAGGAACCCTGGGACCCCCATTACCACTGTGGCATAGAAACTGGAATCAGGTGAAGGGGAGGCATTTGCCCACGAATGGTGCATACAGACTTGTACAACTTTAGCACTGAGACTCCTGTGCAAATTTGCTTCCTTTGGATTGAGTTTTGGCTTCCAGCAAAAGCCAGGCATGCTCAGCTCAGTGCTGGTTGGCTGGATCTTGCTTACGTCAACCACGAAGCCGCCTCTCCGCTCTTCTTTGTGGCATGGAAACTGGAATCAGGTGAAGGGGAGGCATTTGCCCACGAATGGTGCATACAGACTTGTACAATTTTAGCACTGAGACTCCTGTGCAACTTTGCTTCCTGTAAAAGTGTGCACAAGTACCTTATTTTCCTTTGGATTTAGTTTTGGCCTCCAGCAAAAGCCAGGCATGCTCAGCTCAGTGCTGGTTGGCTGGATCTTGCTTACGTCAACCACAAAGCCGCCTCTCCGCTCTTCTTGGTGTGGGGCTGTGCGCACTGGTGATTGACGTAAGGGCCAGTCAACCATGAAGCTACTACCTCTTGTTGGATAAACTCCGTGCACAGTGCTGAAAGGCTGGTGCTCTGCCTCACTCACAACCCTTTCCCCTCACCCAGCAAGGCTCGGTAGAGTGCTGACAGCTAACCCTTTGGTCAATTACAAAGCCACCTTGTCCCTATTTTAACATTAACTTTCCCCCTAAAGAGTCAAACAAACGTTTGATCAGATAATCTAAAAGGGCGTACGGGGAAAAAATAAGGGACCCAGAAAGCAATGTTAGCTTGAGTCCTACAATCAAGTTCTGCGCATGCTAGATAGACTGTGCTGCACAACACATGCTTCCTTGGCCTTTAGCAATTCCATCTGTGCAAACTGCATAGTCTTAAACGGGCCCTTGTGCAAATGGAAGCGCCAAAGGAAATGGGAGTGTGCTGTACAGCAGAGACTGTCCAGCGCACATGGAACTCCTTAATAGAATTCAAGCTACTGAATTTGGAACTGGGTGTGTTTCAGAGGCAAAGGTCGCCGGGGAGAAAAACCTGCCCCTGCTTTTGAGCTGTCTCTTGCTACCTTACACCGGTGGATGTGAAGAAGGGAACCTTCTTATTGGACACCGGTACAGAAGAGCACCACACCAGGGAATCTGGATAGACAACCTTTGTTAAAGCAAGAAGGTATGAAACCTTCATGTCTCGATTTTGAGAAAATGGGAAGGGGGTGTCTTGCATCTGTAATTAATAGTTGTATTCAGTGTTCCCTCTAAGCTGAGTTAGTGTGAGTTAGCTCACAGCTTTTTAGCCTCCGGCTCACACATTTTTGTCTTAGCTCAGGAAGGAGGGCTCCAGAGCAAACTAATTTATGCAGCAGCCAAATTGCTTGCTCACAACTTTAATACTGGTAGCAGGATTTTTGCTCACAAGAATCCACAGCTTAGAGGGAGCATTACTGGACCGATGGGGGACAGCAGGAAGAGAACAGGAACTCACCTTTCTCCACTGTGATTGGCCAAGGTTTTGGGGGTCCCAGGCAGCAGTGGATGGACAAAAAGAAAGATGGTGGAGATAGAAGCAGAAACATACCATCCCCATAAATATTTGTAGACCTGAGGGGTCTGTACTTATGCTTTCATACATTCCCTGCTTGGCAACCTACCTACCTTCCCAAAATTCTGCCGTCTGAATAAAAAACAAAAATTTGCATTTTTGATTTTTTTTTAAGGGTACATTTAATTTTCTGAATTTATTCTGGCCACAAAAGCAGAACCGGGCACACCTTGAGAATACTGCACAGGATAAAGCCTGTGCACCATTACTGCCAGCAGTGCACAAGAACAGACTTAAGCGCAGTTCCAACTGCGCAAGATCTCACACCACATAAAGTGCTTTCCTCCCTCTATATTATAGCGCCGGGAAATTCGTTGCACAAAATCTTGTGCAACTGGAAATGCAAGTGAGGGTACAATAAGTTTGACTTAGCACAAATGGCTACCATAGTGTTTTTCTTGCATCTCCCACTTGCGCAAGAGCTCCAGTGCAAGTGGAAACTTTGCACTGGATCCAACCCAGTGTGCTTCAACTACTCCCCAGCCACACACAGAGAAGTATGGGGGGGGGGGAGAGTTCTTTTTCAGTCAAAGATTAACTTGTAGAATTCACTGTCACAGGATATACCAATCACCACTAGTTTCGTTGGCTTTAAAAGGGGATTAGACAAGTTTGCGGAGGACCAGTCCATCCATGGCTATTGGTCCATCCATAATGGCTAAATGAAAGCGCCACATACTGAAGCAGTAAGCGTACGAATACAAGTGCTGGGAAGGGCAATAGCAGGGGGAGACTTTTGGCACTGTGCCCTGCTTGCAGGCCTTCTGGATGGACTGCTGGTCTGATACAGTGTGACTGTTTTTATACTCAGATGTGCTGATGACCTAAGGATGTCCACTGATCCAACAGCAGCTTCCTGGAAGCTACTGCCACAATTGTGCTGCCCCAGATTTCATCTGCTGCAATTGATTCTAGTAAATCTGCTGAGGGGAAAGAAATCTCTGATTTAAGTAGAATTTCATGGTAGGTTTGGGAAGGGGATAAACTATCACGAGACGATCCCTCTATGTTCTAAGTTTTTCCATAGCAGAACCCTCTAACAGCTATCTGTGCTATAAGGAATGCTATCTTGGATCCTCCCAAGGTGGCTGCATGCACACATCCAGGCCTCTCTAGGACACACTATTGTATGCACTATTTTCTCCCCAGCCCCTGCTATCACCATAGAGACTATAATTCCTCAGTGGCTGGGTAGGGAAGTGGAAACCGCAGATAGCTGCAGCCACAGGCTTAAACGGTTTGGGTTACACATTCTTCACTGAAAGGGATTTTGGGAGACAGCTAAGCTATGTTTGGCTGGAGAGAGCTGGGTAGTATTGTGTACCCAAATCCATAAAATTCTGCAACTAGAAAATCCAAGTTCCATGAGTTGTGGATGAACTCAGCCCATGTACATGGCACAGAGAAGATTCAGCCTAACTCACATTTTTGCACATCTTGTGCATTAAGGAAATGACCTGTATTTGGGACTGAACCCAAATTTGCGGAGTGACCAAAAAGAAACCCTCGATAAATAAATGTCAGCTAGGACAAGAATTGTAGTCAACGCTAAACACAATGCCTTTCCCCAAAGGACTACAGAAAATACAGGTGTCCAGTTTTCGGTGCGGTAGCGGCAGACCAGCTCCGGGAGAGATCCCAAGTCGCTGTGCCGGATCGCCAGGTTTAGAAGGAGTTTGAGGGCTCTCCAAAGAGGAGCCCAAGCAGGGGGCTTGATCTTGGGACTCTCCGCAAACGGCGGCAAGTGGATCGAGTCCGAGATTGCCCCAAAGCCTGAACCTGAGCAAGAGCACCTATGGACTCCATAGTTGCAGAGTTGGCCATGCTGTGTTTCTGGTGCCACCTCCCCTCCTCTAGAGAGTGCATAGATATCAGTAGCCCACCATGACATGGTTCAGTTCCCTCCATACCACTGCTACAGGGAATGGTAAATCTGAGGACTTTTGGGGGTGGAAAGGAGGTTTGAAGATAGATGAAATAAACAAACATCATCGCCCTTACCCATTTCCTCCAGCTCAGATGTCATCGATTTGGAGCGCAAGGAGATGGCTGGTGGGGGTAGCCGCCGTGTTTGCTGTGGTGCAGCTAGAGTTTTTTTAAAGAAGAGAAATGAAAAGGAGATGTGGCTCTGGGACCTTGCTTGTTAACGTCCTCCAAACCCCATCAGCAGCCTTGCCTCCAACCCACTGAGCCCCACCCCCTCCAAAGCTTTTTTCTGCAGTTTGCCTACTAGTCTGCTTCAACTTTGTATGAATGCAATGGAGAAGAAAATAAAAGGGCCGCACCAGTCACAGGAGAGAGAAAATAAGGCCGAGGTAGATGGGGCAAAATCGGAGGAAATATATTTATTACTCAGTGAAACATTTCCAAAAAATTCCTGATGCATCAGGGGAATATGATCCTGTACTCCTTTTGAAGAATTACTGCAAGATGAACAGATTCCCCTGACGAAGCCCATTGGCGAAACATGTAGGGAATTTTTTTGAAATTTTAACCGAGTAATAAAACATATTTTAACCTGATTTTGCACCGTTGGCCCTGGCCTTATTTTTTATCTCTTTAATTCTGTGGAGACCATTTGCCTCTCAAGGAACCCAGAAATCGTGAGGTACCTAACCAGAAGAATGGCGACTCCCATTTCCCAGGCCCAAAAGACTTAATTTCTCCCAAAGAAAGCTGATACCCTGCTTATCAAGCTCTTCAAACTGGAAGGTCCTACAACCCATCACAGGTATTATCACCCCTGCCTCTGAAACCCCAAGGCCCCACTCACCCCCTTAAAAAAACCCACAGTGGTAGGACTTTCCTGTTATGTATGCCCTGGATCATGTATGCCCCCTCATGGATCACTGCCTTGGGCTCCCCTCCATGCTCAGCCAGCCAGGAACCGTGGATCCCAGAAATGTCTTGGGGATACCTTTCTTCCTCATGGCTTCCTCCATCTCCGGGTTTCGTGTTACCATGACAACCTTCACCATCAAGTTGTTGCCACCCTGTCGAATCATGTTGACGACCTGCCGGTGACCAACCTTTACCACGTTCTGCCCGTTGACCTGGAGGAGAGGACTGGAGGTAAATTTGTGCCACAGGGGGATTGGGACGGGGATGCCATATCCAAACTCTATGCCTCTACCCCCCAAAGGCCCTCTAGTCTCAGTGTCTCTCTCTCGGTCCTACTGACATGCCTCAACTCCAATAAGCAGCTGACTCAGGTTAT